GGGGGGGGGGGGGGGGGGGGGAGGGGAAGGGGAAAGAGGAGGTGAAATGCAAAGCTTTAATATTTATAAAGAAAAAAAAAATTCGGGTACACGGGAACGGGGGAAGGGGGGGAGGGAGAGGCTCAAATTCAAAGCTTTAATATTTTAATTTTTATAGATGCAATTTAATTAATATTTATCTTAGAAAAAGTTACCCAGTACTTGGACGGAGTTGAAAACTTTCTAGTTGCTTATGATAAGGAAGATCTGAAGAACTACAGCTTTAACAGTCAACAATTATTTATAAACTATTCACGAAGATTATAACTAAGTGACTTGGCAAGACTCCTCAATGAACAGCAGTCGAGGGAACAGGTTAGATCTCAAAGTAAAACCGGTACAGTGGAACCATAATTTCGCCCTAAACTTGTTGCTGGAGTGTGCATGTGAGTATTTGCTTGTCCGTCTTTTTTGATAGATCATGAACAAGAAACGTTTAGTACTTGCGAGCTGAATGCTGCGCTACGAGCTGTTATATGTAAAGGAATTGATGCTAATTTCACCAACGAAATGACAAAAAAAAAGAGTTTTCGTCTGATCTGATATTTTTTTTCCCATTCCAATTCGTCCGACACTTTTTTCTACATTTTTTTTTCCATACGTAAATTCCGAGAAACAGTAAAATTTCTAGATGTCAAATTCCCCCGCGCTTTTTTTTAGATAATATTTCACATGAGGCATTAAAAAGGCAGTCAGAACATCAGCAAAAAACACTTAAATCACCTAAATTTGATAAGAGACATAAATTTGATCACGAACAACATACCACGACTCAAGGATGTTTCACAGTGTTAAACGACAATACCGAAGTTACCTTGATATTTACTTTTTTCACATGGTTGTTGCATTGATGATTCCCACTCCTAACCACACCTTGCACTGTTTGTGTTTACAGCTTAGGGATGAAATACAGGGAGATCACCCTACCTAGATATCCTGAACATGACCATTTTACTTGTCAAACGGCTTGTTCCACATCAACAACCCCATCTTACCCGCACCATCCCCTATATCCAGTTCTATCCCTCTAGTCTTAAAACATATGGAATTCAGCTGTGCTAAACTTCCTTCATAGTTTTTACAGTTCTCTACTCTACATTCTATTTCTCGGCCTACTTTTGGCCGCAAATTACTACCTCACTTCTATCACAACCCCGACATTCCTACTTGGAATAGCTACTTTTTGCCTGAGCCTTCACGGCCCCTTCTTTCCTTTCTATTTCAAGGTATTACAAGTATACAAAAAACTTGGAAAAGAGCCAAAATTTTAAAAAAAAGCGAACCTGCAGTTTGATTCGTAAAATTTCTGGCTGAATATGCTCCAACGGACGGCCATTAACCTGAAACAAAGCAGTGTCATAACATGTAACAAAAGTTCGCCAAAGAAAAGCGCCAAGACAAACTGAGGGGTAAAAAGTTTTCTATTTTTGCCTTAAAAGGTTAAAAAAAAATGGCTATGGAAAAAAAAATGCGAAAAACTGAGC